CTACAACACCATCCTTCCAATAAAATTCCAGGTGGTCTTATGACTCGTTAAAAGAATGCAAATGACCAGCTGTATAAATCCTTCTATTTATTCCCCATCATCCAGTCAGAGCTGAAGAAGCGTCTTGGATGAGAAGTGAAACTTCTTCAAAGAAAAACCAGAAAGTCCAGTTGCACCTTTGGGACAGCAGAATGGACCCATCTACATCTCAAGGCGAACCTCATTCCAGGGACAGGTGCTGCTACAGAGAAGGCACATTTCCAAGGTCCCAACAAATGTTTAATGGTTTAATCAAAGGAAGCTGAAGTGCACCAGACCTGCAAGATTAAATTCAGCTACGAAGACGCTATAGAAGATATCTCAAGTAATCGAGCCCTGTGTCCAGAGGTGGTACTCAGCAGGTTCTGACCAGTTCTGGAGAACCAGTAGCAGAAATTTTGAGTAGTTCGGAGAATCGGTAAATACCCCCACTGACTATTCACCCCCATCTATTCTCTGCCTCCCGAGTCCCAGCTGATCGGGAGGGAATGAAGATTTTACAGTATCCTTCCCCTGCCATGCCCACCAAACCATGCCATGCCCACAGAACCGGTAGTAAAAAAATTTGAATCTCACCACTGCCTGTGTCATCTATCAGCCTTCATAATGAAGGCCCTCGACCTTTTCCTCATTAGAAGAATTTCTTTTCTCTGGTTCCATAAAAATTACTTTTCCAACCACTGCTCTAAAGTAATCCAGGGATTCAGAAGGTCTACCTGCCTGTATATTTCCCACCCATCTCACTTTTTCCTTGTTGTTTATTCCAGGATCTGAGCTTTCTATGTGCCTGCTTTGGACTCTTGAGACCAAATGTCTTCATTTGCTGTGAAATCTGGAAAAAGAAGTGCTTACGCACCGGTTAAAGTAGACCCAGAGAGTGACTATTGTACACCTGGAGCGTTTGATTTGGAGAGACTCTTTTGGAAAGGAAGCCCCAAATACACGCATGTCAACGAAGTCTGGCCAAACCTCTACATAGGAGATGAGTAAGTTTTGTCAAAAAGCCAAGAGATTTTCATTCCAGGTAATCCTTGACTTATGACCCCAAGTTGAGCCCAACATTTCTTTTGGACACAGTTGTTAAGTGAGTTCTGCTCCATCTTATTGTTGTGGCCCACCAGCGGCTAGCAGAGCTAGTGGCAGATTCGGACAGTGAGGAGGTTGGAAAGGAACATGGGCCAGTCCTAGAGCCTAGGTCATACCACTTATGATCCTTCTTGCCACAGTGAATCACAACAGCTGCTACACTAATAGTTGGGTTGTGAAATGAATCTGGATTCCCGATCAACTTCGCTTGTCAGAAGAGCGCAAAAACTGATCACGTGACCCCCCCCCCCGGGACCCTGCAAAAGTGTCACAAATATAAACCATTTGTCAAGCATCCGAGTTGTAATCATGTGACCCTCAAGATGCTGCAATGGTTATAAGTGTGAAAAACAGTCACAAGTAACTTTTTTCAGTCCCGTTGTAACTTCAAACAATTGTAAACAAATAGTTATAAGTTGAGACTACCTGTATGAGTCTATGACAGGGGTGTCAAACTGAAGGCCCATGTGCCAGATCTGGCCTGTGGAGGGCTTAAATCTGGACCACAGGACTGCCCTAGAAACAGAGGAGGACCAGCCCGCAGTGCCTCTGCCAGCAAAATCAGAGCCTGTGAGGGTTGCAAACGGCCCTCCTGGGCTCCGTTTTCACTTGAGGAGGGCTGTTGGACATCAAGCTACCCATGCCTACCATGGCCATGCCCACCCCAGCCACGCCCACTTGGCCCACTGAGGTCAAATGCAACCCTAATGCAATCCTCAATGAAATTGAGTTTGACACTCCTGGTCTATGACAATTCTCCATGGCCAATTCTCCATGGCCAACTCATCATGGCTACCTCACCACAGTCAACTTGCCACAGCCAACTCGCTACGGGACAAGAGTTACACTAACATCAAGGAAATTATGGGACAGAATCCTTAAAGAAAGGAGGAAAAGAATGAAATGTGAATGGCAAAAATTAAAATAATTTTTATTTGTTTTAAATAATTAAATAGAGTTGTTAAATTGTCCTGTAGCCATGGTGTCCCATGGTGAGTTGATCATGGCAAGTTGTTCCACAGTAACTTGGCCATGAGTTGGCTGTGGAGAGTTGTCCCAGTGAGTTGGCCATGATGAGTTAGTTGTGGAGAGTTGGCCATGCTGTGTTGTCCCACAGCAAGCTGGCCATAATGAGTTGGCTGTGGATAGTTGGTCTTGCCGAGTTGGTCATGGTGAGTTTACTGCAGCAAGTTGGCTGTGGCAAGTTGTCCCATTCCCACCTGTGTCAGACCTGCAGCCAACTTTTCTTTTGGACCTCAGGCTTGCCATACTTTCTATTATTCTACTATGCATTATCTATTGTGGGAAAATGGGAGGGAGGATTATACGGAGTTGGATGATATGTAGCCATAACAAAATTCTTTCTAGAAAGCCAAGGTCATCCTTTGTCTCTGCACCTGGCCAGAACTGGATGGGTGGAACTGCCAGTATGGCAGTGGAAGATTGGACCATGTGATGGACTTGTGGTTATGGAGGCAGGATCTTGAACTTTCAACTGGGTGGGGAAAACTGGGAAGCTTTCCGATTCGGGTTTTCCCAGATGTGCCAATATGGCTCTCTTAATAAATGGGAACTTTGAGGAATCTTTTGCCTCGGACTCTGATTTACTTTTGGATGCTATTTGGAACCTGACACCTGTATCCGAAGCAGGGAGGGGTGCAAAAATCTAGATGGCCACTGTGAGTGTGGGATCAGAGCCCTGGTCGCTTTGAAACATGTCATTCAAAGGGAAAAAAGATGGGGCTCGTATGGTTATGGCCACCCATTTGGATTTTTGTCAAATAAAAGAAGCCCCTTCTGCTTTGGCCCAGGAAAACGGCACTTGATCGGTACAGCCTGGAGAAAGCTGGCTTCACCCATGTGCTCAACGCAGCCCATGGAAGATGGAATGTGGATACGGGGCCCAACTACTACGAAGACATGGCCATCCAGTACCATGGAGTGGAGGCAGACGATCTTCCCACCTTCAACCTGAGCCAGTTTTTCTACTCTGCTGCCGAGTTCATCCATGAAGCACTCCAGGATGAGACCAGTAAGCCCACCTAAAACTTGCAAGCGACTGATGTGCGGGTTCACTCCACACCCATAGTTTCTTATATCTTGGGTTGAGGAATCCTTAAGGGGAAAATATTTTGCCCCAGATTCTTCGAATGCCACAACCATAAAGTTCCTATTCATCTCTTTAAAACAGGGGTGTCAAACTCAACTTCATTGAGGGCTGCATAAGGGCTGTGGTTAACCTCGGGGGTGTGGCAAAGGTGGTATTCTGCAGGTTCTGACCAGTTCTGGAGAACCAGTAGCGGAAATTTTGAGTAGTTCGGAGAACCAGTAAATGCCACCTCTGACTGGCCCCGCCCCCATCTAGTCTCTGCCTCCAGAGTCACAGCTGATCAGGAGGAAATGGGGATTTTGCAGTATCCTTCCCCTGGAGTGGGGAGGGAGTGGAGATTTTGCAGTATCCTTCCCGTCACGCCCATAAACAAACACCCACAGAACCATTAGTAAAAATGTTTGAATCCAACCAGTGGTGGCTGGGCATGGCTGATTGGGTAGGCATAGCCAGCTTGATGCCACTCCCCAAACTGCTGGCATCTTTCCTCCTCGCTCTGGGTAGACCTGACCTGATCTTTCCTCGCCATTGTGTAGACCAGGACGGCCCCGCAGGCTGGATCCAACCATATTATAGGCCTAATCTGGCCTGTGGGCCTTGAGTTTGACACCCGTTTTAAATGATCGATTCAAATATGAATCAGGATAAGAATATTCAGAGAGTCCCTACACTCAAAACTCTGGAAAACTCTTTAGCATCCTGAGAACTAAAGGCCTTGCTAGGCTTTCAGTTAAATAGGTGTCAAAATTCTCTCCCACGTAACTGTCCACTGTAGACATCTTCAGGGTGAAAAAACTATAACAGGCACAAGTATCTTGTGTTGGATTGTATCACTTGTTTTTCACCTGCATTCCACCTTCCAAGCCTATAGGAGGATCAGAGGCTTCTGCAGGAGGTCAAAAAAAAAAGTCGAGATGACCTGCATCTTTCTATGTGAAGTTATGGTATTACTATCAGGAAGATAAGTCACATGTGGCACTGTTTATTCCTTCTTAAAAATAAAGTCCCCTGCAGGTTGAGCTCAACTCGCACCTGATTTTTGGGTGATGGTCAGTAAAATCTTTGCCATTGTTCTGTTTGATTTTTGCGATTAGAAAATGACTTAGAGTGGTCTTTTACATTGAACAGTACAAGTCAAATTAGAAGTGTATCCCTAATTTGTGAGAAAATAGACCTTTGGTGCTAAGATTTGAAGGGCATTTTTTCTATTCTGCTTAAAAGAAAAGCATGTGACCTTTCTCCCTCTGTCCCTTTCTTCTCTCTGTCCCCCCTCTCTCTGTCCTTCTGTCCCTTTCTTCTTCTCTCCCTTTCTCCCTCTGTCCCTTTCTTCTCTTCTTTTCTCCATCTCCCTTTCTCTCTCTCCTTCTCTTCTTTCCATCTCTTTCCCTCTCTCCCTCTCCTTCTCTTTCCATCTCTTTCCCTCCCTCTCCCTTTCTCCATCTCTTTCTCCCCCCCATCTCTTTCTCCCCCAAGCATGAGCTACATCTAAACTACTGTTTACACCACTGAAATGTGGCTTGACTCTATCCCTGTTTTCGTCCATTTTCACGGATTTCAAGAGCTCTTGTTCTCATGAACCTTAAAGCCCACAAGGAGCACTGTAGTGGATTCTTTAAAAGACAGTCACCACTGGATCCTAAGTTTCAAGATCCTTGCACCCGCTGTGTCCCCTGTGGATCTGTGCATTATCCAAGAGCACAAGGTCAAAAGTCTAAGTCGCTGATGCCAAATCTCAGTGTTTTCTCTGTCTCTCTCTGTTTTGGTTTCTTGATCTTTGCAGACAAGATCTTGGTCCACTGTGCCATGGGGCGTAGCCGCTCAGCAGCCTTGGTCTTAGCCTATCTGATGATTTACAAGCACATGACTGTGGTGGATGCCATTGGCCAGGTGCTCCAACACAGATGCATCCTTCCGAACCGCGGGTTCCTGAAACAGCTCCGGGAACTGGACATAAAGCTGGCCTTGGAAAGGAAAAATGCCACCAACAGGCTCAACGCAAGCAAAGAGGAGAAGGCCCACGCAGAGATTTAACATTCCGTTTCTTGGGAAATAAGTAGCTACAAAATAATCAAGGAGTGTGAAAAACCATTAGGTAGAGAGAGTCATTTGTTACCAACTAAGGAAGGAATGAGGTAGGAGCGGGGAGGTGGCTGCAATCGAAAGCCCTTCACATGTCTTTTAAGTTATTTTCAGCTTGATTATATGCAGAGAAGGAGCGACGGAGGGCAGCCTTTTAATAGGGAGCTTGCAGAAGATGAGGAAAGCAGCTCTTCTGCAGAAAAGAAGAAAGGAACTCCTGCAACCAAGTCTGGCGATGACACTGTATTTAACGGTGTACAGTGTGCAGAAAGAGAATACACAGTGTGTAAGTCTGGGTCGAACTGTGGAGTCCTGAGAACTTTCTGAACTTGGTTGTTGCTTCACAGATGTTTTATTACCCAGCTAGGCAACATCAACAGGGCACCGATGCATTGAAGCAAATCTGCATGCAAAGCACCAACCCCAGAGAGCACCAAGGACTCCAGAGTGTGCCAAAAAAGAAGAGCAACTTACTTGGAGAACCAAACAGCACCTAAAACAGATCATCGTCATCGTTGTTGTTGTCGTCATTGTCATTGTTATCTTAAATCACTCCACTGCGGGATGTAATCCTTTGGGTCATTAACTACTTACTAACCACATCAGAGCAGCATGTTAGATTATAATCCATAAACTTGAATAAAGAAATCTTAATTTTGTAGTGGATCAATTTGGGATTATTATTATTATTATCATCATCATTATCATCATCATCATCACTAACACCACCAACAAATCGAGGTTAACACACATAATTATTTTCTTCGGGAGAGATGGTGACTTGCGCTTCACTGGGGGTCCTTTTGTTTTTAAAGAACACCAGTGAAGCACAAATAATCACCTCCAGATGCAAATTAGCAGGACCAGATAAGTTGCCCACAAATATTTTTGTGGGAGTTTTGTTAAGAGAGAGCAGTTGAGCACTTGTGAAGTTCTTGGCATAGATGGTGGTCAGCAGAGGTGGTATTCAGCCGGTTTGGACTGGTTCGGCCAAAGCAGTAGTGGAAATTTTGAGTTCAGAGAATCAGCAAATACTGGCTGGCCCTGCCCCTGTCCTATATTCCCTTGTTTTTTTTTCCGCTCAGCTGATTCGCGCAGTAGAGTGGATTGCCGCTCCTCAGCTGAGCTTAAAAAAACAGCTCAACGCACCAGTGCTGACACTGAGGCCGGTCTTTGAGTGCTGCATGCACAAAGCGCTCTCTCATAGAACTGGTAGGAAGAGATTTGGAATCCCACCACTGGTGGTCAGGTGCTCACATTTGTTCCCACCAAGTTTCTGAGCAGAATTATTTTATATTATTTTGTCACCCATCTCCACAAATGAACTATATTTAACTTTCCCTCAATATCATTTGGAAATGTTTTGGATTTGCCCCTTTTAACACGATAGTGTTTGTCGAGACGACAAAACCCATAACTGTTTAATCAATGGCGGACACTTTTCCTGGAGATATGGAGATTTCAAATTCTTAGGAGCCGAGGTGGCGCAGTGGTTAAATGCAGCACTGCAGGCTACTTCAGCTGACTGCAGTTCTGCAGTTCGGCTGTTCAAATCTCATCGGCTCAGG